GTATTAATGTTATTGTGTATTATATGCAGTACCATTTACAAGATAAATAAAATGAATGAATGAGTAATTATTTTTCAGCATATTTTTTACTTTTACTCATTACATTTTTACACAATTATCTGTACTTTCTACTAAACGTAAGAAGTAGAAAGTCGTTACTCCTGTTTTATTCTGAGTTGTTACTTTAAAAATCCTCTCCTGATAAACTGTGTCTCCTATAGAGTGAATTTAATTGTGTTTGGATGAGAAGTATAAATATTCTGACACACTATTAGCTTGTACACAACCCATCACAGCTGCACGCTGTTAGAAAATATAGTTCCCAATAAATGTCATTTAGGAAACTCTAACTGCTCACTTTTACTCAGTACTTTTACTTTTAATACTTAAGTAGATTTTGTGTCAGAAATTTACTTTTGATACTTAAGTACAAAAAATATCAGATACTTTAAGACTTTTACTCAAGTAATATTCTTAGAGAAGACTTTAACTTTTACCAAAGTATTTTTATGATAAAGTACTTGTACTCAAGTATCACTTTGAGGTACTTTATACAACACTGGTTTTAATTGCTTCATTAAAATTAAAGTTTGAATAATTACTTCTGTATAAATTTGATTATAAACACGTTTTCTAGGTCACTAAAAACCTAAAAATATCTTCCAGATTAGACGGTGTTTTGCAGAAACAAAACCCAACATTTAGGACAGATTTTACCTGCTACAGTTCAAAACATAACGCACTACACATAAAATTTGATTTATTTTACAAAATCTTAAAAATAAACTGCACTGTGTCCAACATAATGTTAAATAACAAATTTAATCTTTCAGGTTTTAAATTAAGTTATTTATAAATTTTCATAAATTAATTCATTTTCATAGTGTTATACTGCAATTTTACTAGATGTTTTTGCCATAATAAGATCCATATAGGAACAGGGAAGACATTACAACTGAGTGGGTGTGTGCTTATGTGAGAAATAGGACTATGATGCACAAAACTCTACAGTAAAGCAAGATTTTATCATTTTAAACTTAACAAAATTAAAATTATTTGATATTTTAACTGCCTTTAGCACTTTTTTAAAAACAATTATTTAACATAATTAGCAGGGATGTGCAGAAACAGACGTCCCTGCTAATGATGGTAAAGTAGTAAAACCTGTGTGATGTTTGAGCACCTGCCCAGCATCAAATGCCCCGTTGAACTTTTGTCCCTCTCTTTATCATTTGAAGTGTAACACTAAGTAAAGAAAGGTGGAGAGAAAAAAAAACCACCCACAGCAGGCTCTGCTCTCCTGGCATTTATTACAGTACAGTAATATTCGATTCACAAAATACAAAAAAATAATAT